AATGTTTCTCAATAGCTACGATGCATCTGGAAATTCTAAGCCACATAAATCGATCAACTGTGGATTTCTACGAAAATTCGTGTAAAATGTTTCTTAAGTGACAGTGTAATTCCTGTAAAATTTGATAATTATTTGATTATTAACTTTTAATTTATCATTGTACATTGAATTTTAAAAATGAATTTAATTAACCACTGATGATTAGAAAGAATAAAGTTTGATTCATCAATAATTCTGTAATTAAAAATCACTTTCCGAGAATAAATAAATGTTTAGATACTTTTCAGCAGAGTACATGTAATAATAAATAGAAAAGAATTTGAAATTGATATTTATCTATGATAAGATATCTGTCTATGATACATGATACACATATAATAAAGTGTATATACTTATAATGATACACTTCCTTATTAATATTAGTAGTTATCAGAATAAATCTCTGGGATGTGTATTATATCTATCCACTCTTTTTGCTAAACATAATTCCACACATTGCTTTTCAAACTTTCTTCCACCACTGTATACATTGAAATGTTCATTTCAATATATTACGCGCATCTGGCGCGTTTTTAAATTCGACGAAATGTCACACTTCTTTTCTCCACTAATGCGTAATCAAAATAAATTCCTAAATAAATGAAACAAGTAAGTCGCAATCAAGAACACATCGACGATTCTGACGCACTTATGTCATATATCATCTGCTGGAAATAAGTTCGCGATGAAAAGAAATCTGAATCTGTGTTTAGGATGTTGCCAACAAAGTACTGATTAATTTCGCACAGTTTTTCACCGGAAAGCCACGATTTTAGAAACATCTAGCTACCATTGCCAAGCCGGAGAGCCGCGTGACACTTACCTATGGTGCTTCCGTAATTTCTCGTGGTGAGAATTCTCAGTTTCACCGCCGTCGGAAAGGGCGCGAGTCGCTTGCTTCGGCGAAGCTGGCGGCGTGTGCGGCGAGTGAGCCGTTAAATTCGTCTGCGGGCTCAACGGTGCGCCCGTGTTGCCCGGTTGAATCCCTAGCATGCAGTAAGGGTCGCTGAATCCTGGAGGACATATGCAGAACCTTGTTTTCAGAGTAACTCGCCACCGGCCTACACTTAAACCTAACGACTCTCGTAATTAGAAAAACGAGCGGCAAGACTGTGCTGGGTAAAGGATCGTAAATCATCATAGTTGCGAATTGGGTCAGGCTGGTTCCATGGCTCGGAGAGCAAGGTGAAAGTCGAAGAAAATGCATCGCTGAGGATTTCACTATCGTAAAAGTCGTGTCAATCAGGTCAAGCACAGAGAAAATAATAAACTTCGAGCGTTGCTTCGTTGATTCGGAAGATTTGGCAAATGATTTTAGAGAATTAACGATCAGGTATACTAATTTCATGTACATGAAAAATAGGAAGAGTTTCTTATCTATATGTAGATAAAACTTTTATGCTTTAATGACTTGATTTGACTGAAAGTTGCAAGATACGCATTTAATACTGCGGAGCAAGGTCTGTAGTGAAATCTGCAAAATCGGCTGATTTTCAAGCAGATTTTTCGTGAAAATGTTGAACTGTTGAACTGTAGGATCACTCTGACACAATTTGTATGACTTATGACTTACTTGGTATTAAAATCTAGGTGTTTGTATTGATAATTATATAATAAAATACAAAATTCTTATCCTGTGAAATATGCACTCTGATCTACAAAATATCTCAATTTATTAATAATACTTGCAAAAAGAATTTTTGTTAACGAACGTTATGCATTGAGGATTATTCCACGAGGATTTTGAAATATTTCTCTGTTTGTGGTGCTGACGCACGCGATATCATTGTTGCGAGCTATTATGCGAAATTCGTGGGTATTATTATTTTTATTCTCGGAATAAAACTGTGGATTTTTATGCGCACATTTATGGAAAATTTGAACGTACAAAAATACGCAAAATATGCGAGACTAAATCTAAAAGCTACGTGAATATTCAATGTAGGCTACTCATATCAATATTTAAATATTTGTATGTGAAACAAATTTCCCAGGCGAACGTGAATTTGCATAAACATCCGCGATCCACTGAAAATTTTAATGATTTTTTTAAATCTTGACAATAACATTGTCAGATCGTGCATTCGTAAACAATTTTCATTTGTAAATCTATCTAGGCTCCATTTTTTTAATTACTACACAAATTTTCATAAAACTAAATATAAATATAAAAATCCGCAGTTCATGTTATTCTACGTTATCAAACACAAACAACAGATCAGGACTATCGAAAATCCCCAAAATTGACCACTATTCTATACTCCAATTTTTACACTTGCTAAAAAGAATGCAGATATCTTGTGCGTACAAAACGTACAGACACGTTCGCAAAATTAAAAAAAAAAAAAAAATGAAGAAAAAGAAGTGTAACAGATAACCACCGAACGACATTTCAGAGCGGATTCGGTATAAAAGATGTATTTAAATTCCCGCGAGCATGATGCATCGAGCGATATCGATCACTTGCCGACGATCGAGATAGATTAGGGGTGAAACCGCCTTTGCAATTATTTAATCCGTCATCATGCAAACGGCTGTGAAATATTGAAAAGTGGGGTCGAGGGCCAAGGCGATGCATCGCTTTTCATCGCCGTTTCACCGTCCAGAATTTATGACATCGATGATTCCGGCCGGATTATTCATGCCCGTAATTCAATGGAAAATTCATTTGCGTTTCAGTAGACTCGTTAAACTTGCACGGGCATTACGTGGCGCTGCATAATTAAACGCGAAACTCGAAACAAATGCTCACCGTTCGCGTCTTTGGCTTCTAGGCCCTCCGCTTCGACAACCACCACGCTCAGCACGACGATCGGCGGCTGAAAAAAAAAAAAAAATGCAACGCAAATTTTGGCAAGCAAGCATTGGTGAAATCAACATATTTCGTGGCATATATCAGAGTGTGTACGACTAAGATGAGAATTATTTCGCCATCATCGGCGAAAGAGGTAATTAAATAACATTCCAATACTTGTGGCTGTGCATGCAATGAATAAACATTGTGACTGTAAACAATATACTGTAGTCGCGATGCGATTTGAACGACGACGTGTAAATGGATTACTTCTGATACGCACTTGCTCGCGATGATATGTTTCATTCGCGTTCGTGTCACAGTTGTATGATAATAAACGTCTACGTGCGTATGAAATGTCGTTCCCTTGAATTGTGCAAGAAGAAATTTACGTATCATGAATCATGTATATTCAATCCTGCGACATCACAGTATAGCCTACAATCGAAATATCCGTGTGATTCTTTTACGGTAAATAACAAAAATTAAATTTGGGAAAGGTGCCTTGAAAATTTCCACGATTATAAATTTATCATTTGGAGAAGGTTTAATGTATTTTTCGTTCTAGGCAATTTAATTTCGAAGCAAAAAGAAAAAAAAAAATGATATACCGAATGAACGTATAAATTTATTATTAAGGGTACCCTTAAGTAATATCGTTTCTTTTTTTTCGAATTTAATAAACATTGCCAAAGTTACGATGTTCATCTAGTGACAATAATTTCACTTATTATGGCATAATCTATATTCCAGTTAAATATGTTGACATTTACTGTGCTTATTGTTAAGCTTTGAAAAAATTTGAGTGAACTCTGTAAGAATTGAAGACCAATGTGTAGATAAATTCCATGTCATCGAAAGTATAACAATGCCATAAATGCCAGAAATGCCATTTATCCTGGTGTCTTGGATACCAGAACGTGTCAACGTTGGTTTAAAAAACTTAAGAACGGTGATTTCAATCTTCACTTCAAAAATCATCCTCATTTTACAAGAAGGGAATATAAAGTTTGTCAGAGAGATTATATTATATGGATTAAAACTCTTAAATAAAATAAAATTCTGTACAGTATCAAAAAACGACGACTGCTTATGGGTATCCCTAGTACTTTGATTAAATCCTAAAGAAACTACGTGCGATTAAAGTTTCATCGTATATGAAACGACATTTGACGTGCATCAAACTGATACATCGAAATGAAATTAAATAACGTCTAAAAAAAAAAAAAAAAAA